CATCATCATCATCATCATCATCATCATCATCATCGTCATGTCATGTTCAATCTCATCTTCATCTCCATCTTCATCATCATCAGCAGCAGCAGCAGCAACATCAACACAACCACATCTGGGATCTGGGACAACAGCGGTAGCGGCAACAATATTAGCGTCCCCACCCTGCCTTCCATCCCAGCGCGCTCCTATCATCGGCGCGGTCGAGCCTGCCAGCAAGGATGCGCACCAATATGCAAACCGAACCTAAATGTGGCAATCATAACCCATGAATGAAACCTCGCTGGGATGGAGAGCACGGTGGAAAATCGTTTCTTGACGGTCCTGGAGCCCGGCGGAGGCCCCCAGAGGCCGAACATGGCAGAGAACCTCCCGTCGTCGTGTGTGCGCGTCGCGAGCGTGTCTGGGTCCAGGGGTCCAAGGGCCTCCCAGGGGCCCCAGAGACCGCGTCGTGACAGACCGACGACGAGGCGTTCTCCACAATCGTCGGGCTCTGGGGGCCCGCGCCGGTGGATGACCTGATGAACCTGCCCTGCTGCAGGGGATCGGACATCTGGGGGGCCCCACATCCAAAAATCAGGGCGTCACATGTCTGAGTACGTACTCCAGATTTCGTAATAAGAGGGAGGGGGTCTGGACCCTCCAAGACAAGCCATTTCAGACCTCCCCCGTGGGAGAACCCTCCAAAACTTCGTCCCCAGACCCCCCCAGGCCCTCCAAGATAGCCTGGAAGAGACCCCCCCCCCGAAATGAGACCCCCCTCCCTTTATTACGAAATCTGGAGTAAGCACTCTCGGAGCCCGCGGCAGGATAGACGGCGTAGTGAACACCTCCGACGTTCGACGCTGAGAGGGGGATGCCAACCGGGCCGCTTACCTCAGACTCCACACTGGCGAGGAGAGGAGCCCCCCCGCTCCCGCTGCTCACCGGAGCATCCTGTTGTGCACCGGACGCGCTTCTGCAACTCTGCATTCACAGGAGCCGCATGGCGTCGCATAGCCTGACCGCTCGAACACACATCGAAGCATGAACGGCTAACAGGCTTGGCAATCGTAAGTTGCGAGGGACATGTGGGTACACCAAGTTCCCGCAACTGACACGTTCTGGCACGTGGTGCTTGAAAATGGAACGCAACAGCGTGTTCTCTGTGATGGCGTTTGCAAGTAGTGGAACAAAGGGAATCGAGGACTCGGCTGAACAAATGCTGCAGTTCTATTGCAAGCAAGGCGGTGCCGATTGGTGAGGTGCCATCATGACCAGAGAAGTCAGGCAGTGACGAATGCGCCGAGCATCCATCCCGTGGGCTGAACGTAGGCCTATGGGACGAATGCCAAGAGACCTTTATTTTTGAATCGGCGATAACCCGGGGTTATCCCAGGGGGGGGGGAGGGGGCCGGCCGATGACCTGACCACCTGACCCTCGCGCTGAGGGCAGTCCTGCATATGCCCGCGCCCCGCCTCCCGCGGACCTGCACAACCGGCAAAGTTAGGTTATCCTGGGGGGGGAGGGGGGGGGCAAGCCCGATGACCCGGGTTATCGCCGGACCCACAAAAAAACAGCCTGTTGGTTAGTCCATCGAGCCTGCTTAGGTCTTATGGGACGAGTGTCAAGGCGTCATTTCTGTTCCTGCACACCTCCCACCCTGCTCAGACTTACCCTTAGGTCGGGCATGTCCCCCTACAGGCGGATTTTGGACGAGGACTGTAAATATCCAAAACATACTCACACAGAGCCAAAAAAGTAATCGAAAAATCATCCCCGGGCTATTTTTGTTACTATTTCTGAAGATTCCCCCTGTAGAGGCACATGCCCGATTCAAGCTTACCCACGCATGTCTGCTCCGAGAGAGAGAACCTTTTGGCGGGCGCGCAATAGCAGTAGCCTCGTTACCGGTACAGTCGGGGCCTTGACCTAAGGAATCCTAAATAAGGAAGGAGGCCCCTGTTTTCCATAAGCTAAACTTCGATGTCCGATCGAAAACATAAGGAAAACCTGAGGCAAGCTGCGAAACACTTAAGGAACGCGGAGCCCCTCCCCAACGAAAAGGGTTCCTTCTTCAGGGCCCCGACTGTACTCCCGGAAGGCCCTCGCACGGGCAATCGCCAGCCTTCGGTCTGGCAGCCGCGCCCGAGAAGCCCCCCCTCCAGGTGCGCAGAGGGTGCCGCCGCACCCTGGAAGAGGGCCGTGCTGCAGCGCGGTCCGCTGCCGAAGCTCGGGGGGGGGAGCAGGCGAGTGGAGGGCGAGGCGGACAGAGGGGGCAGAGGGGAGGAGAAGAGGACGGATGGAGAGGGGGAAGGGAAGGGGGAAGAGGAGGGACGGGCTGAAGAGAGAGAGAGAGAGGGGGAAGAGGGGAAGAGGAGGGACGGATGCAGAGAGGGGCCCCCAGAGGATCCCGGGGAGATCTCCGAGGGGAAGGAGGAAGGAGAAAGGCACGACCCGTCGGAGGTCCGCGCGGACTTCTCGGAGCGGCGCCCGCCGCCCCTCCCTGGCAAAGGGACGGCGCGGGAGACTCTCCGCGGGCGGGGCCTTGGCGCCGACCCGAGGAGAGCCGCGCGCGGAGCTCCGGAGGTTTCTTCCCCGCCCTCTCCCGCGTTGGGCTCTCGTGGTGGGCGGAGCGCTGCGGTCTCCTCCTCCTCTCGTCCCTCCTCTCCTCTCGTCCCTCCTCTCCTCTCCTCTCGTCCCTCCTCCTCGCCTCCCTCCTCCCCTCCGCCTCCTCTCCTCTCCTTCTCCTCTCCGTCCCTCCTCCTCTCCTCTCGTCTCCTCCTCCTCCTCCTCTCCTTCTCGTCCTCGTACCTGGCTTGTACATGCCTGTCAGCCTGCCTCTTGCACCGCCGTCTGACGTTGCCTCGCCATCCCTGGGGGGCTGGCTGTGAACTGCGAGACTGTCGCCACTTTCGAGTGCTGCCAGGGCGGTGCAGCGGAGTGACGTCTTGCGCAGACCAAAGCGGGGCCTCGCCGTCGCTTGGGGACTGCAAACTGCCAAGCTGGCAACACTTTTGAGTGCTGCCAGGGCGGTCCAGCGGAGTGACGTCTTACGCAGATCAGAGCGGACGTCGCCGTCGCTGGAGGGCTGCAAACTGCGAAACTGTTGCCACGTTCGAGTGCTGCCAGAGCGTACCAGCGGAGTGACGTCTTGCGCAGATCAGAGCGGGACCTCACCGTCGCTGGGGGACTGCGAAACTGTTGCCACGTTCGAGGGCTGCTGCTGGGTGTGTTCAGCGGAGTGACGTCTTACGCAGATCAGAGCGGGACCTCGCCGTCGCTGGAGGGCTGCGAACTGCGAAGCTGGCGCCACTTTCAAGGGCTGCTGGGACGTCCAGCGTAGTGCGGTACCAGCGCTGATTCAGACTCGCGGGGGGTGCGAACTGCGAAACTGCCGCCCTCCCCGCGTGCTTCTGGGGAGGGGGCAGCTTGTTGCTGCTGTCCTGCGGGTCCTCCTCCTCCTCCTCCTCCTCCTCTCCTCCTCCTCCTCCTCCACCCTCTTCCTCCTCCCTCCTCCTCTCTCCTCCCTCCTCCTCCTCCTCCTCCTCCTCCTCCTCCTCCTCCTCCTCCTCCTCCCGTCATTCGATACAAATGGGTTGGGTGACTGTCTTGCGACGTCTGCTCCTCGTCGGAAGATCTCGCATGGTGGGCCTCCGGCTTCGGAAAGAGTGGCTCTCCGAACCACCACGCCCACGACGCTCGGCTTAGGTCGGGCATGTCCTCCTGCAAGGTGTTTTGGACGACAAATCAAACACACGCAACAAATATCCAAACATATTCAAAAAACACCAAAAAACCTCATACTGCTTTTGAATGTTCCTCCTCCTGCAGAAGGACACGCCCGACTTCACGATCGGCACCCGTGTCTGCCCCGAGGCGCGATCCACCGCAGAAAAAACGCAGCGCCGCCACGCGTCACGCCACATTCCGCCCCATGCCGCCGAACGCGCACGCGCGCGCTCGCGCCGCCCAAGCGTCGCGCCGCACCCTTCCGCCACGCGCCAACGAAGGGAGCAGCGCGTGGGCTCCGCAAGGGCGAGCCGGCGTGCGCACGAACGACAACCGCCGAGGACAGGATCCCGCTCAGACCCGTGCGGCGAGCTCCGCCGCCGCTCCAGACTCGCCAGACCTCGGCATTTCTCTGCAGCCCCGGGCCCCAGAAATGGGGCAGGGACCGGCACTTTTATAGGCCCGCCACGGCGTGTTCTCATAGCACACGCATGCCATGGGAGCAGCAGCAGTGCTCTCGGCCAGAAGCGCTCTGACAGCAGCTCGCGCAGGCCACGAAAGGTTATCAGAGCATCCTGTGTTGGGCCAGAAGAGACGAAGAGGAAGAAGAAAAAGAAGAAGAAGAACAACAAGCGGCATGAACAGAAGCTGTTGGCGCTCCGCCAGGATCTCTTGGATCTGCGTTGGACCCCCTCCCTGGCGCCCTGCCCAGCGTCAGGCCAGAGGAGGGGCAAGAGGGCGGGCGTGGGGAAGGCAGAGCGCCAACTTCTCCTCCAGCACCGCCAGGCTGCCGGAAAAGGTCCCCAGTACGGGAAGGGAGATGTGGGACAGGAGGGAGCGAAGGAGGGAGGGAGGGAGGGAGGGAGGGACGAGGAGGAGGAGGAGGAGGACAAGGAGGATCTGCGTTGGACCCCCTCCCCCGCGCGCGGAGCGCGACAGGGCCAGGGGCGGCGCCAAGGGGCGCCGCTGGGGAGGGGGGGGCCCAGCGTGAGTCCCGAACACCCGCGCGGAGGCCACTGCCACAGGGAAGGCGAGACGCGTCCCTCCTCCTCCTCCTCCTCCTCCTCCTCCTTCTCCTCCTTCTCCCTCCTCGTCCTCCTCCTCCTCCTCCTCCTCTTCCTCCTCCTCCTCCTCCTCCTCCTCCTCCTCCTCCTCCTCCTCCTCCTCCTTCTCTGCCCGAGGGGGGGAGCTTCCCGCGGTGGGCGCCCGCAGATCGGGGCCCGGCCGGGGCGGCCCCCGCCGAGGCCGCCCCGGCACGGCGGCCGGCCGCGCAGGCACGGGCCCGCCCTCACAGGATGCCGTGCACGATGCGCTGGTAGTTGTCGTACTGGATCGTGCGCCAGTTGTTCACGGAGGCGTCGATCAGGTCCACGATCTTCTCGATGCAGGCCTCCGAGGGGCCGCGCCAAGGGAAGGGGTAAAGAAGTGGCTCCTTGGGGGGGGTGCTTTCGAGTCGCCAGGATCGATGCTGAACGATCGGGGCGTTCGAGTCGCCCGATCGCTTCACATTCGCCGATCCCGGGCCGCTGGCGGCGTTCAACCAGTCGCCGCCGCGGCGACGTGGCGCGAATCTGCCGTACCTTTGCCTCCTCTGAGCCCCTCCGGGGAGGGGGCTCAGATCTGAGGAGGAGGAGGAGGAGGAGGAGGACGGGAAGCGTCGACCTCGAGGAGGAGGAAGAGGAGGAGGAGGAGGAGGAGGAGGAGGAGGAGAAGGACGGGAAGCGTCGCCCTGGAGGAGGAGGAGGAGGAGGAGGAGGAGGAGGAGGAGGAGGAGGACGGGAAGCGTCGACCTGGAGGAGGAGGAGGAGGAGGAGGAGGAGGAGGAGGAGGAGGAGGAGTAGGAGGAGGACGGGAAGCGTCGACCTGGAATCGGCGATGCCTCGCCGATCGATTGGCAAAACACAGGCCCCCTGTCCGCAGGTCCGCGCGGTCTGGGGCGGGGTGGGCCACCGGGCACCCACCGATGGGGCCCATCGTCCACCACCACCACCACACGTGGGGGAGTGCGGGACGGGAAAATGACCACAGCCACTGGTTCTTGTTTGCGCCGCCTTCCAGCCGGCCGAAAGAGAAGCAGTGGTTGTGGTCATTTCCCTGGTGCCAAGCTCAACGAAAATGACCACAACCACTGCTTTGTTTCTGCGGGCTGGAAGGCGGCAACAAAAGAAAAGCAGTGGCTGTGGTCGTTCTCACGCCCCGTAGGGAGGGAGGAGGAGAAGGAGGAGGACCTCCTCATCCTCCCTGCTCTCAAGTCGGGCCTGTCCCCCTACAGGGGGGTTTTCGACGGAAACCAAAAATATCCCAAAAATACACCAAAAAGGTCAAATAATAATCAAAAAATAGTCCCCAGACTATATTGTTGGACTATGTTTGGATTATTGCTTAAGTATTTTTGACTTTTCGTCCAAAAACCGCCCTGTAGGGGGACAGGCCCGACTGAACCCTGCTCCCCCGTCCTGCGTATGGCAGTGGTGGTGGAAAGTTTGCCCAGCACCTATCGCCAATGAGTGGGCGATTTGGGGGTCGGTGCTCTCCCCCCTGAGCCTATCACCCCCAGCGCTGCCCCCGAGCCTCCTCTGTGAGGTTGACGAAGAAACGCTCTTGGAGAGTCTGCAACACGAAGTCTGCGCCCTCTCTGAAGCAAGGGAGCTTGGACCCGGTCAGCATCATGCGGACCGGCTGGATGATCCGCTCGCGGTGCTTGCGCGCCTCTAAGAAGCCCCTGATCACCAAGGTCCGAAAATACTCGTACTGCTCCGAGCACTCCCCGTCCATGACGTCGAGGAACTCCTGGGTCAGCTTGAAAGGAGACTGCTCGAAAGCCATGTTCCCACCTGGTGAATTCGCCAACCCAAACGGGCCAATAGCGTGTCAGAGCCGTCACCTGGGCCGAGCATAGAAACAGAAAGAGCACTCTGAGGAATCGTCCCAGAGAGCTCGTCCGTTCTTTGGAACCTTGGTGCAAAGAACCTGTCAAGCCATGTACTGGGAGTCTTTGCGTTCAAAAATTCTTTTCAGGCACAGCCCGAAATTTGATGTTCTTGACGTAACTGACTGACTGATTGCCTGACTGATTGACTGAATCACAGCGGAGACGTCAGATGGCAGTGTTATTTCTGGTGGGTGAGGACATTCGGCTGGCAGTTTTAGACCAGAGGGGTGAGGATATTTCGCTGGCAGTTTTAGGCCAGGGGGTGAGGATATTTCGCTGGCAGCTTTGTAGGCAAGGGGCCAGGGGGATGAGGATATTTCGTTGGCAGTTTTAGGCCAAAGGTGAGGATATTTCGTTGGCAGTTTTAGGCCAGAGGGGTGAGGATATTTCGTTGGCAGATTTAGGCCAGAGGGGTGAGGAAATTTCTCTGGCAGTTTTAGACCAGAGGGGTGAGGATATTTCGCTGGCAGTTTTAGGCCAGGGGGTGAGGACATTTCGCTGGCAGTTGTTTAGGGCAGGGGCCAGGGGGAAGAGGACATTTCGTTGGCAGTTTTAGGCCTGAGGGTTGAGGATAATCCCACCAGCCCTCTGGGCGTCGGTGGTTTAGAGCGTTTCCTCTTCCACCCCTCCTTCTTCCCCTTCGGGGAGGGGTTTACCCCTCCCCCTACCCCCTCCCCACTGACCTGGACAGGGGGGGCCACGGGTAGTTAGAGCGTCCAAGACGGCCCAACACGGCTCCAAGAGGGCCTCAGGGAGCTCAAGATGACCTCCAAGATGGCTCAAGATAGCGCAAGATGCCTCAAGATGGTCCCCATGATGTTCCAAGACGCTCCAATAACTCCCCAAGACGGTTCCAAGTGCCCACAAGAGCATCATTAGGATGCATCCAAGAGGCCAAAATGCTTCAAAACCCTAGGGAAAATCAATGTTTTTGGTGTTCTCACTTTTTCGCGTGCGATGCACATCCGACGCGTCAAGATGGCTCCAAGATGGCTCACGATAGCTCCAAGAGGGGTCCAAGAGAGCCTCAGGATGGCTCCAACAGCGGCCACGAGCGCTCCAAGAGCGATCCAAGAGGGGTCCAGGAAGCGATTTTTGGAGCTCCTGGGGGGGGCTGTAATTAGGGAACCCCACTTCCTTCATCGATTTCCTCCACGATGGCCGCAAGAGGCCCCCAGGATGCCCCAAGAGGCCCCGAGATGGCCCCAAGATGGCCCCATGTGGCCCCAAGAAGCTCCCAAGAGGCCCCCAGGATGCCCCCAAGAGGCTCCCAAGAGACCCCCACGAGGCCCCAAGAGACCCCCCAGAGGCACCCAAGACGCTCCAAGAGGCCTCGGCGAGAATGCCCAAATCATTGATTTTACTAAGGTTTTGGCCACATTTGGGCCTCCTGGGGGGGGGGGCACTGCTTCAGATGACTCCAAGAGCGCCTGGGAGAGCCCAAGATGACCTCCAAGATGGCTCAAGATATCCCAAGATGCCTCAAGATGGCTCCCACGATGCTCCAAGAGGCCCCAAGACCGCTTCAGGACGGCTCCAAGTGGCCAAAGAGCTCCCCCAGGAGGCCCCGAAGAGGCCAAAATCCTTCCAAAACCTTCGGAAAATCAACATTTTGGGCTTTCTCGCCTTTTCGCTTCCGATGGCCATCCGAGGCTTCAAGATGACTCCAAGATGGCCCAAGAGGGCTCCAAGAGCGCTCTGAAGGCTCCCAAGAGCGCTTCAAGAGGGCCCCACGAGGCGCCCATGAGGCCCCAGGAGGCCCCAACAAGCGCCCCAGAGGCCTCCAAGAGGCCCCCAAGAGACCCCCAAGAGGCCCCAAGAAGCTCTCCAAAGCACCCAAGACGCTCTAAGAGGCGTCCGGGACCGCCAAGAGGCCCCTAAGACGCTCCAACCGGCCTCCACTGGGGTACCCTTCCTTTGTGTGCTGCCCACTTCCCTGATCGAGGCACTTCCTCTGGGCATCGTTTCTGGATGGGCTGGTGGGGTTACGCGAAGCGTCTAGAATTCGCTGGCAGTTTTAGACCAGAGGGGTGATGACAGTTCGTTGGCAGATTTAGGCCAGAGGGGTGAGGAAATTTCTCTGCCAGTTTTAGTCCAGGGGGGTGAGGAAACTTCGCTGGCAGTTTTAGGCCAGGGGTTGAGGACATGTCGTTGGCAGTTTTAGGCCAGAGGGGTGAGGATATTTCGCTGGCAGTGTTCGGCCAGGGGGGCGAGGATATTTCGATGGCAGGTTTAGCTCAGGGGGGTGATGACAGTTCGTTGGCAAATTAGGCCAGGGGGGGAGGATATTCCTCCGGCCGGTTTGCGCCAGAGGGGTGAGGATATTTCGTTGGCAGTTTTAGGCCAGAGCGGTCAGGATATGTTTGCTGGCAGTTTGACGCCAGGGGGTGAGGATATGTTGTGTTGGCAATGCTAATCCATGGTGGTGAGGACATGTGTTGGCAGTTTTACGCCAGGGGGTTGTTAAGGGTTGAGGAGGACGACGACAAGGAGGAGGAGGAAGATGAGGGACGACGAAGGAGGACATTGAGGAGGAGGAGGAGGCGGAGGAGGAGAAGGGAGGGGCACAGAGGAGGTGGGGGAGGAAGGACAAGGGAGAAAAACGAGGACGACGGATGCTTTAGAAGGGTGAAGGGAGTAGATGGAGGGAGGAGGAGGAGGAAGAGGAGGAGGCGGAGGGAAGATGAGGAGAGAGGAGGGGAATGGACTTGCGCTCGGCGCGGGCACCTCTACGCCGCGCGATGCAGTATTGGGCCCTCGCCTGATAGGCCCAGGCAATAGCCGCGCATTCAACGCGGTGCTGCGCCCGTGCATATGCTCGCCCCTTGGCGTGGGGTGGCTCGGGGGCCAAGGGGCGAGCTGTCCGGTCATTACATCACCGTTTGTTTTTGGGAGCCTTGGCGTTGAAAACTCGTTACGTCACAGCTAGCTCGTAGCTGGCGTTAAGAGCTTGTTAAATCACTTATCGATATTGGGAGCCTTGGCGTTGGATGCTGTGGACGCCATTGGAAGCGCTCAGGAGCGTTGGAGCTCAAAACCTTTTACATCACCGACTCGCGTACAAAGGGTGTTCCGACCCGAGCATGAGAGCCTTGGCGTCCAAGGTGCGTCCGTCACTGGGCCGTCTGGGGACAGGAGCCTTCACGTCAAAGCTAAGTCCGTCACTGGCTGGGCTTTGGGCCCTCCTGAGGGTTCTCGAGAGGCTCTTGGAATAAACTTAGCGGCCTCTTGGGGCCATGAGGGCTAAATATCTTGGGGCTCTCCTGAGCCGTCTTCTTGGGAATCTCGTGGGCCGTCCTGAGCCCCTCTTGGACATCCCTGTGGGGCCCTCTTGGGCCATCTCGGAGGCCTCCTGGGCCGTCTTGTGGCCCTCTTGCGGCGTCTTGTGGTCCTCTTGTGGGCCACATCGGGCCGTCTTGGATCCACATCGGAGGCCCTTCGGGCTGCCTTGAGCGGTCGGAACCCAACAAAAAAAAGAACGCTAACACCATGCGAAAAAAAATCCGGAAACCGGTGATTATGAGGCGCTCCTGGGAATTCCCCTTGGGGACCTCGTCGGCTGCCTTGAGACCCAGATGGCCGCCTTGGAGCGCTCCTGGACCGTCTTGGGGCCCCTATTGGGCCTCTCTCGGGCCGCCTTGAGCGTTTAGTAAGGGGAAGAAACAATGACATAAACATGAAAACTCGAAGGTCCGCCCGGATTTCTCGGATCGGCGCTCGACCTCCCTCCCTGGCGCGCGGAGCGCGCCAGGGGCGGCGCCAGAGGCGCCGCCAGGGGGCCCCAGCTGCGGAACCTCCGAATTTTTATGTTTCTGTCATTCTTCGTTCCCTTTTCAAGTAACCCAACCCTGAGATCCCAGGACGACCATCCGTTCTTGGCGTGGGAGCGTCACGCTTTCCATCGCAACACCCACGAGACCCAAGAAACCCAGGGCACCCTGAAGGCAAGCAGGGTGTTTCTTGGCACGGGCCCCTACTGCACAAGGCTCCCATGATTCGCTGCCGGAGCACCTCACTCTTCCTTGCGATCGCGGCGTTCGCGCGGGCCGCGCGACTGCATCTCGGGGGGCGGCCATGAGGGGGGTGTCCAAGATGGGGGGGCGCAAATCATGGCCGGCGGCATGTGCGCGGCCCAGGGGGGGGAGCCAGGGACGCAATGAAATAAGCAGAGGCGCCATGAAATATGAGGAGATACCATGGCCCCAGCTTACGTTGCTGGCATCGTACTGAAAGACAACATCCCAGACATAACAAATTTCGAGGCATGGGCATCTACTGTACAGTGCGGGCGCGGCCGCAAGAACCCTCCGCCAAAAACCCAACCCTGAAAACTCACGCGCGAGGTGCGCCTGAGGGGAAACCCGGGGCACCCCGAACGCAGCAGCTTCTTTGACGGCCGCGGGAAGTCACCGCGCAGAGCGAGGAGCGAAGAAACCCAGCGTACCCTGACGAAAAGCATATGGTTTCTTGATGCGCGCCCCACTGTAACTAATTTCGAGGCATGGGCATCCACTGTAGGCCGTCTCTGGCGCCTTTTGGGCAATCTCGGGCCACTCGGGTCGTCACTGGTCGGGCGGGACGCGCGCGCGCGCGCGCGCCGGCGCGCAGTGGTCCTCGCTGCGCTCCTCGAGCGTGGGAGCAGGGAGCAGGGAGAGGGAACGATTGAGGGGCCGCGGGGGGAGGAGAAGGAGGAGGAGGAGGACGAGGAGGAGGAGGAGGAGGAGCAGGAGGAGCAGGAGGAGCAGGAGGAGCAGGAGGAGGAGAAGGAGGAGGAGGAAACGGAGGAGGAGGAGGAGGAGGAGGAGGAGGAGGAGGAGGGAGGGAGGAGGGAGGGAGGGAGGGAGGGAGGGAGGAGGAGGAGGAGGAGGAGGGAGGAGAAGGAGGAGGATGAGGG